CTGGGTAGAGGGAGGGCCTTATGGGCGTGGACACCAGTCCGAAGTTCTGCCTTTGGTCCTCCATGAGGCATTTATCACACCTGATCACACACAATTTTTTCTCAAATATAACACCATAAAAATCCAAACAATTTGGTCACACAATTAGTCCAATTATATCCTAATGAAAAAGGAGGACAGATTCTTATTGAATCTTTGCAAATAATGATGCAAAAATCCTTAACAAAATATTGACTAACTGAATCCAACGGCATGTAAAAAAGATACTCCGCCATGATCAAGTGGGTTTCACACCAGGGATGCAGGGATGGTTTAACACATGCAAGTAAATAAATGTGATACACCACATAAACAGAATAAAAACAAAAATCACATGATCATCGCAATAGATGCAGAAAAAGCATTTGACAAAACCCAGCATCCATTTATGATTAAATCCCTCAGCAAGATAGGCATAGAAGGGACATATCTTAATGTAGTAAAGGCCATCAGTGACAAACCCACAGTCAACATAATACTAAATGGGGAAAAGTTGAAAGTATCTCCCCTGAGAACTGGAACAAGACAAGGATGCCCACTCTCACTACTTCTATTCAACATAGTACTGGGAGTCCTAACCAAAGCAGACAAGAGAAAGAAATAATCCAGACTGCTAAAGAAGAAGTCAAACTGTCACTGTTTGCTGATGATATGATCGTATACCTAGAAAACCCTAAAGACTCTCCCCCAAAGCTCCTAGAACTGATGGAATTCAGCAAAGTTTCAGAATACAAAATTAATGCACCCAAGTCAGTAGCTCTGCCATACACCATCGGCAACCAAGCTGAGCATTAAATCAAGAACTCAATCCCTTTCACAATAGCTGCAAAAATAAATAAAGCAAAATACTTAGGAATATACCTAACTGAGGAGGTGAAAGACCTCTAGAAGGAAAACTACAAAACACTGCTGAAAGAAATCATAGATGACACAAACAAATGGAAACACATCCCATGCTCACGGATGGGTAGAACCAATATTGTGAAAATGATCATACTGCCAAAAGCAATCTACAAATTCAATGCAGTTTCCATCAAAATACCACCATAATTCTTCACAGAACTAGAAAAAGCTATCCTAAAATTCATATGGAACCAAAAAAGAGCTTGCATAGCCAAAGCAAGACTAAGCAAAAAGAACAAATCTGGAGGTATCACATTATCTACTTCAAACTATACTACAAGGCCATAGTCACCAAAACAGCATGGTACTGGTATAAAAATAGGCAAATAGACCAATGGAACATAATAGAGAACCCAGAAATAAACCCAAATACCTGCAGCCAACTGATCTTTGACAAAGCAAACAAAAACATGAAGTGGGGAAAGAACACCCTATTTAACAAATGGTGCTGGGATAATTGGCAAGACACGTGGTAGAATGAAACTGGATCCTCACCTTTTGCATTATACAAAAATCAACTCAAGATGGATCAAGACTTAAATCTAAGACCTGAAACCATAAAATTTATAGACGATAACATTGGAAAAACCCTTCTAGACATTAGCTTAGGCAAAGACTTCATGACCAAGAACCCAAAAGCAAATGCAACAAAAACAAAGACAAATAGATGGGACTTAATTAAACTAAAAAACTTCTGCACAGCAAAAGAAACAATCAGCAGAGTAAACAGACAACCCACAGAGTGGGAGAAAATCTTCACAATCTATACATCTGACAAAGGACTAATATCCAGAATCTACAAGGAACTCAAATTAGCAAGAAAAATATCAACAATCCCATCAAAAAGTAGGCTAAGGACATGAATAGACAGTTCTCAAAAGAAGGTACACAAATGGCCAACAAACATGAAAAAATGCTCAGCATCACTAATTATCAGGGAAATGCAAATCAAAACCACAATGCCACTTTGGGAGGCCAAGGCAGGAGGATCACTTGAGGTCAGGAGTTTGAAACCAGCCTGGCCAACATGGTGAAACCCCTGTCTTCACTAAAAATACAAAAATTAGCTGGGCATGATGGTGGGCACCTGTAATGCCTGCTACTCGGGAGGCTGAGGCACGAAAAATGCTTAAACCTGGGAAGTGGAGGCTGCAGTGAGCTGAGATTGTGCCACGGTACTCCAGCCAGGGTGTCGCAGTGAGACTCTGTCTCAAACAAACAAAGAGCAAAACCACAGTGCAATACCACCTTACTCCTGCAAGAATGGCCACAATAAAAAAAAAAAAAAAAAAAATCAAAAGAATAATAGATGTTAGTGGGGATGTGGTGAAAAGGGAACACTTTTACATGGCTGGTGGCAATGTGGACTAGTACAACCACTATGGAAAACAGTGTGGAGATTCCTTAAAGAACTAAAAGTAGGAAGAACTACCATTTGATCCAGCAATCCCACCACTGGGTATGTACCCAGAGGAACAGAAGTCATTATACGAAAAAGATACTTGCACATGCATGTTTATAGCAGCACAATTTGCAATTGCAAAAATATGGAACCAGCCCAAATGCCCATCAATCAACATAAAGAAATTGTGTTATATATACACCATGGAATACTACTCAGCCATAAAAATGAATGAAATAATGGCATTTGCAGCAACCTGGACGGAATTGGAGACCATTATTCTAAGTGAAGTAACTCAGGAATGGAAAAACCCAACATCGTATGTTCTTATAGGTGGGAGCTAAGCTATGAGAAAATAAAGGCATTAGAAGGATACAATGGACACTGGGGACTCAGGGGAAAGGGTGGGAGGGAGTGAGGGATAAAAGACTACAGACTGTGTGCTGTGTACACTGCTTGGGTGATGGGTGCACCCAATCTCAGAAATCATCACTAAAGAACTTAACTCATGTAACCAAATACCACCTGTTTCCCAAAAACCTATGGAAATAAAACATAAAAATAAAAATACATTTATAAAACAAATAAATATTACTAATAATGATGCATGGATATTTTATTTAGGAAGCTAATAGGGATTTATTTATTTATTTATTTATTTATTTATTTTGAGACAGGGTTTCTCTTGTTGCTTAGGCTGGAATGCGGTGCTGTGATCTCTGCTCACTGCAACCTCCACCTCCTGGGTTTAAGCAATTCTCCTGCCTCAGCCTCCCGAGTAGCTGGGATTGCAGGTATACACCACCACGCTCAGCTAATTTTCATATTTTTTTGAAGAGTTGGGGTTTCACCATGTTGGCCAGGCGGGTCTCAAACTCCTGACCTCAAGTGATCCGGCAGCCTCAACTTCCCAAAGTGCTGGGATTATAGGCATGAGCCACCGTGCCTGGCCGCTAATAGGGATTTTAAAACAGGAAATAGACATGTTTAAATATCTTGGTAAATATATCTAGATCATAAGGATATGTGTGAAATTGTGTATAGCTTTGAAAATAAAACAAAAAAAGACAGGGAAAAGAACTGGGGAATTTAAACCTAAAAACACAAACAAATTTACATCTTATCAAAAATAAAACGTCTGCCTGCATTATATGCAACATAGAAAAAAATGAAGAAAAAGGTGTATTCACTGTCTTTAAACCAAATTTATCAAACTGACTTGTTTAATCACTTTGATTACATGAACTTAGTTTCTTATGGAAAAAAATGCTGTGAGGGATAGTAATTTTGAGGAGAAATATTTTTTCTTGAAAGGCTAACACATTTAAAATATTAGAAGGCCAGGTATGGTGGCTCATACCTTAACCCCAGCACTTTAGGAGACTGAGGTGGGAGCATCGCTTGAGGCCAGGAGCTGAAGACCAGACTGGGCAGTATAGTGAGATCCCATCTCTAAAAAAATAATAAAAAATAAAATATTAGAAGTTCAGTTTCTGTATTTCCTGGGGATTTTGAGGATATTAAATTCATATAAGCACTTATCAGCCATTCAGGACAAAGTTCCTTTGCTGTAAGAAACTTTGTAATCTAATTTTTTTTTTTTTTTTTTTTTTTATTTTTTTTTTTTTTGAGACGAGTCTCACGCTGTTGCCAGCTGGAGTGCAGTGGCGGATCTCGGCTCACTGCAAGCTCCGCTCCTGGTTCACGCCATTCTCCTGCTCAGCCCTAGTACTGGACACAGCGCCCCACCCCCGCTAATTTTTTTGTATTTTAGTAGAGACGGGTTCACTGTGGTCTCGATTCCTGACCTTGTGATCCGCTCGCTCCAAGTGCAGGGATTACAGGCTTGAGCCACCGCGCCCGGCCAATCTAATTTATCAATACATTGTTGATGTAAGAAAAGATTTCAGACACCAGGAGAGGTGAAGGCTTTTCTCGCTGGAGGCTCCCAGACCCGCTGAGTGCGTGTGGCTTGTGTGATGCGTCCTCAGCCACGGGCCACAGCCAACCCAGAAGCACCACTCATGGGTCCAGATCCTAAAACCTGTTCTCTTTTCCAGGGGGCGCAACACATCCTTTTGATGGAGTTGAGCTCGCAGGAGGACAGGAGGAAAAGAACAAGCCGGATTTTCTGTCCTCTCTCCGTGGGGAATGGACCCCTCCTGCCCCAGGAGAGACAGATGCCCCAGGGCAGACCGAAGACCCGGCTGTCAGTCATTGCTGAGAGGACTTGCCCATTGGACAGGGCCAAACCGGAACCAGAACCGTGGAGAATGGACCCCTCCTGCCCCAGGAGGATCCCCCAGGGCAGACCGGAAGACCCGGCTGTCAGTCATTGCTGAGAGGACTTGCCCATTGGACAGGGCCAAACCGGAACCAGAACCGTGGAGAATGGACCCCTCCTGCCCCAGGAGGATCCCCCAGGGCAGACCGAAGACCCGGCTGTCAGTCATTGCTGAGAGGACTTGCCCATTGGACAGGGCCAAACCGGAACCAGAACCGTGGAGAATGGACCCCTCCTGCCCCAGGAGGATCCCCCCAGGGCAGACCGGAAGACCCGGCTGTCAGTCATTGCTGAGAGGACTTGCACATTGGACAGGGCCAAACCGGAACCAGAACCGTGGAGAATGGACCCCTCCTGCCCCAGGAGGATCCCCCAGGGCAGACCGGAAGACCCGGCTGTCAGTCACTGCTGAGAGGACTTGCCCATTGGACAGGGCCAAACCGGAACCAGAACCGTGGAGAATGGACCCCTCCTGCCCCAGGAGGATCCCCCCAGGGCAGACCGGAAGACCCGGCTGTCAGTCACTGCTGAGAGGACTTGCCCATTGGACAGGGCCAAACCGGAACCAGAACCGTGGAGAATGGACCCCTCCTGCCCCAGGAGGATCCCCCCAGGGCAGACCGGAAGACCCGGCTGTCAGTCATTGCTGAGAGGACTTGCCCATTGGACAGGGCCAAACCGGAACCAGCACCGCAGCAGACACCACACCAGGAAGGAACGCAGCAGCGCGGGGCGTCAGCGAGGGAAAGGGCTTGTGCCGTGTGGGGTCCGCCGTGGGCTGAGACTCAGTGTGTCCGCAGCAGGTTCAGCGACCTCCAGGCTCGTTGGCAGGTGGAGTTCTGTGGCTTTGCTGGGGGAGTCGCAGAGGCATCTTGGCGGGACCCCCAAAACCTTCAAACAAATTTGCAAAAAGATGAAACATAACTTTCTACAAATATAGAGTGAACACGTGTGCTAGATTTAGCGAGCTCGTTAGCGAAGAGCCAGAAGGAGGCTGCAGCTCGTGCCCATGTTCCTCGTCTGAAATATCTTTCTGGTGGGCTGAGCTGCGTCTGAGAGTTTACACAAGAAGTCACACTGACCGTTCCTACAAGGTGGCAGAACATTCCAGAACTCCTTGACCACATTCTCCACATGGGCCTGTGACAGTGAAACAGCTAAAGAACGGACACAACCAGCTCCATTGTTGTTGAAGGGGCCTGTACCCGCTCCTGCACGTAGGCCAGGATAATTTTAGAGCACTGAGATAAAACACAAAACCAGCGATCATGCAGTTTTTGAAACTAACTCTGGGATTAAAAGGGAAGTATGTAAACAGCTAACTATGTTTTGTTAAGGATTTATAGAGACGGGGAGGTTTAGCTACCGTCACATGAGAGACCATTATGCACGGACAAAGAAGTTTTGCAAACTTCCCCCAGACGCTGGTTGGAGCCCAGACAATTGCGATTGTCAGTCCCCTTCTTTCCCTCTCACATAGAAGACAAGCAAGGCAAAGCCCACATAATTCCGAGATGGATCTCTGGGACGTTAGTTTCCACCATCTTCTCAATTTTCTGACTCTCCGAGATAAAGTCTCCTTTCTTGCCCCAACTCCGTGTCTCTCGATGTATTGGCTGCCGTGTGGCCGGCAGAGCAAGTCTGGACTCCGTCACATCCTCCCCATGCACCTGACCTCAGTTAGAAATGAAAGGGTTCCACCGTCCGTCATGGCTGCGCCTGCAGGAACAGCGCGTGGAGGAGCCAGCTGGCTTTGGATCCTGCTCTCTGAAGCCCGCTGCATTCTGAGGGTCCGTTTGGAAGAGGATGCAAAGCCTGTGTTGTCTGTGGTGTTGCCCATTTCCAGGGATATGAGGCCATCGTCCAAGAGAAGCACACACAGGGAGCCTCTGGCAGTGGGAAAGAGCCACAGTGAAGCCTGCCCTGCTTTTTCACAGAGAAATGTTAAGAACCCAATAAAGATCCTCCAAGTCGAAGTATTTGTGAGACGGGAAGTGCTCTCAAAACCCAGGGCTGAGGTCAGTGGAGCTGCGAGAGAGGGGGCAGGTAGACCCAAGCAACTGGAAAATGGGAAAACGTCACTGTACTAACATAAAAGCCAGCGTGTGGATACGTAGAGAAAAATAAATGTATTTATACATGAAGTAATTTTATCCTCAGAGGCTTTAGCTGAGGCGTTCTGCGGCTGCGGGGAGAAGGGGACTTGTTTCAGATGAACAGTGTCCGTCTCTAAGGGCCACCTGCGCCTCAGCCGGCGCCCAAGGGCACTTTGAGCCCTGGAGAGGTGGCCCCTCAGCCACCCACACGCCCACAGGCAACAGTCACAAACTTGGGACACAAAAGTAAAAAACAAGTGTGGGGCGCGCCGGAGGGAGCCCTGAGGAGGCTGACCCTGGACGGAGCCCACACCTGCGGGAAGGGGTGGCAGGGCCAGCCGCCTGCTTTCTGCTGCTTTTCCCTAGAGGACGGCCTCAGTCCAAGCCAAGCAGAGGCAGCAAGAATCTGGACTAAAAGCCTGCAACTTACTGCCTCGAAGAGCCAAGGAACAGAATTTGGGCAGCTCAGAAATCCAGGAAAGGAGAAAGCCAGAGAAGGGGAGTCCTACCTTCCGTGGTCACCTAAAGCTCCCGACACGAATAATCAGCACAGCCCTTACACTAGTCACCATTGTAATCCTAGGCTTGACTTACGTAGGAGGCCCCAGCTGGGCTGAAAGCAAAGTTGAGCAAAATCATTCAGTCAGCCTCCCGACTGCCATGCCTCACGAGTTTTAAAAATCACGTTGTGAGCCTGAGTCAGTCCTTCAAGGCAGATCCTGAGTGGCTGACTGGTCCTAAATTCAAAACAGAGCCACGGGGCCATTGGCTGGAAAACCCACGTGCTTGTGGAACTTCGGGACTCTCTGCTCCTGTTCCCACGCCACCCGAATCAACAGCTGCCAGGAAATCCCATGTCACCTCCTGGACCTTAACCCACAGACGGTACCTCCCTTGACCAATCATGACTAAACAAGCACTGGCCAATTAAAACTAAGCAAGCGTGCATCCCTCATTTGAATAAGCAGACCAGAGTGGGAACCGGGGGGGAAACAACGCTTCTCCCGGTTTTCTTGGCGCACACCGATGTTTTGTACCAAAGGCTGTGTTTCTCCAGCTGGCAAACTGCTTGCTAGAATGAAGTCTTTTTTTTTTTTTTTTTAAAGAAAATCCTTTTTTGTAAACTTTTTGACAATATCTACATGGCCTAGCAGCGTATCATGATGTGGTGATGTTATTTATTCCGAAATTATGCTGAGAGAAACTGGTTATTGGCAGAAATTGAGTATATATACACATAGTGAAACGGTGACTGTAGTCAGACAAATTAACATATCCATCATCTTACATAGTTACTCATTTTTTGTGTGGCAAGAACACCTAAAATCTACTTTTTCAGCGAAAATTCCCAATACAGTGAGGTCTTATTCCTCTAGCCCTCGTGCTGCCCTCCGGACTGGCCTCCTCCTTACCTGCTTTGTCTCCCATTTCTTCCCCAGCCCTGGGAACCACCGTGTTATTCTCTATCTCTGTGCATTCAACTGTGAGGAGACAGAGGCCACAAGAGGCTGAGTGACCTGCGGGGTTGCTGGGTGAAGACGCCGGGATTTGGACTCAGGCCCTGACAGGTTCCTGGGCCCTAGGAGATGGGATTTTGTCCTAAGCACGGATGTTGAAAGACAGTTTCTACATCTATATTAGGTGTGTAAACTGTATCTTATCAAAATACAAGGGCTCTGAGAAAATGAGTCAGGGGTTTGGGCTTTAGCAGGCGTGTTTGGTGCATCCCTGCCGAGGTGGGGGAGCGCCTCTGCTCAGTGAAGGCACAATCCTCACTCCGGCGAAAGCGGAGCCTGTGCAAGCGACGCCTGAACGCTGTGAGTGGATTGAAAGGTGTCATTGTGGAACTGAAAGGGTTACTGTAGCTCAGCGATATTTGCGGCCGGACTTGGGAAACAAATGACCAGCATGAGAAACCATTTCAGGACTCCACGAGGAGCGTGAGGAAGGGGCCAGCCGGCCGCTAGTCTGTGTGAGGTGGGCACAGGCAGGCCTCACAGATGCTCACCTGTGGCCAGTGGCTGGGACACATGTTCCTCTGTGCTGTGAGGTCAGCAGCGCAGTCTCCACACTGGCGACTGGATCACTTAGCACAATGTGTAGATTTTTTTTTGACTAGGCCATATTTATAGTGGCTTTAAAAAATCATGTACACATCTTATACCTTTAATTAATATAAAGGGTTCACATACATATTTAATACCTGTGTTTATTATTTAGTGTGTGGTTATATTTTCTCTACAGCAGACATCCGTATGTTCCTATGCCTAGCAGATCTGCAGGGCTCGCGTCTTCATGCTGCATCGGTCGTCTGTCACGCACGCGGCTCTCACCTTTTGTGTTGACGGATAAACTCGATCTGTACCATCGTTGAAGGGCAGGCCATTTTGTTTGTATGGTTGCATGTTCTCCTGGAGTTCTAAATTTCTTGTAAAGAATATGATGTTTAAAATTTTGTTATTATTATTCTATTTTGACAGAGTCTCGCTCTGTTGCTGAGGCTGGAGTACAGTGGTACAATCACTGTTTACCATAGCCTCGACCTCCCAGGCTCACCCAATCCTCCCACCTCAGCCTCTAGAATAGGTGGGACCACAGGTGTGCCACTCCATGCCTGGTTAATTCTTTTATAGTTTGTAGAGACGGGATCTCCCTGTGTTGCCCAGGCTGGTCTCAAACTCCTGGGTACAAGTGATTGAGCCTTCCAAAGTGCTGGGATTACAGGCATGAGCCACCACACCTGGATGGCATTTTAAATTTTATCATCCTTTAAAAAGTTTCTTCCTAAATGAATTCAATTTGAAGTAGGACTAAGATAATTGAGTGTACATGAGCTATTTTCTGTGTTCTCCTTTGTTTAGAGTTTCGCAATTATCTCCCTGATTGGAATACATAAATAATACTGACCTTATTATCACATTGTAATTCTTTGGCTTTCATTGTTAATTGCATTTGTCAGTGTCTTCAGTATATGAGACTATTGATCAAGCCATATAGGACGTATAAATATGACTAAAGCTTCCAGTGGTTTGTGAATGTTATGGACAGAGATTTGTTTCCAGGTTGAGATTATCTGTTGTCTGTCCCTGCAACCATGGGGTTGATTTGAATAGAAAGAACTTAGCCAGGGACCCAGGGTGGGTGCCCCACTGTGAGGGGGCTACAGAGAGCCTGAGTGCCCTGCCCGGCACCTTGCACCTTCTCGGGGGTCCCAGCAGGCCCTCACCCCCCAGAGGCACATCTTCCATTCGGTTCTCATATCAGGCCTATTTCCAAAAAATTTTCTGAGACACTTTGTAGTATTAAGACATAGGAGCCGCGGTGCATGTATCCAGACTGGAGGAGAGGGCGATCACGAGTCAGAGATCGAACATTGGCTAACAGGGAAACCGTTAAAAAATAAAAAAAAAAAATGGCCGGGAGGGGGGGCGGTAGTATTGGGAGGGAGGGAGAAGGAAGGGGGGGGCTGGGAGCTGAGATCGGCAGCACTCTCCGGCGACAAAGATCCGTAAAAAAAAAAAAAAAAAAAAAAAAAAAAAAAAAAAAAAAAAAAAACAAAAAAGTCCAGAGACTTTTTGGAAAAAAGAAACGTAATTATTCCAGCTCCCTGGCGTGTGGTCATTACTGCTTTTCTGGAGGTGGGGGAGTGGTTATTTGTTTGTTTGACAGCTTCATTAAGATGTAATTGATACACAGTCAGCCTTTGCACAACACAGGTTTGAACCGCCAGGTCCAACTGACATGCGGATTTTCGCTGGCCTCTGCCACCTCTGAGACAGCAAGACCAACCCTCCTCTTCCTCCTTCTCCTCCTCAGCCCACTCAGTGTGAAGACGAAGAGGATGAAGACCTTCATGACGGTCCACTTCCATTTAATGAATAGTAAATATATTTTCTCTTCCTTATGATTTTCGAATAACATCTTATTTTCTCTAGCTCACTTTATTGTGAGAATATACCATATAATCTATACAGAATGTTCATTGACTCTTTATGTTACAGGTAAGTCTCCTGGGTAATGCCATTGACTGTTTATGTTACAGGTAAGTCTCCTGGGTAACAGTCAGCTATGAGTAGTTACATTTTGGAGGAGTCAAAAGTTATACTCAGATTTTTGACCACGTGGGAGGTTGACATCCCTAACCCCCACATTGTTCAAGGTTCAAGTGAACAATTAACTGCACATATGTAAGGCATGCAATTTGACAAATTCTGACATTTGTATACACTAGTGAAACCATCACCACAATCATAACGGACACAAACCACAATTCCTCATGGCCATTACTGCCGGATCACTCTTGCAGGAATACAGACAAGAAAATGATCAAAGCCAATCTGCAGTGAGTTTCTATTTCATACCCACCAGAATGGCTGCAATAAAAAAAAAAAGCCAGGTAATAACAAGTGTTGGTGAGGATGTGGGGAAATCAGAGCGCTTGTACACTGCCGATTGGAATGAAAATGGTGCAACCGACTTGGAAAACCGTCTAGCGGCTTCTCCAAAAGCTACCGGTGGAGTTACCGTATGACCCAGCAATTTCTTTTCTGGAGAACTGAAAACATATGTCCACATAGAAACTCGTACTCAAATGTTCACAGTGGCATTATTCATGATCGCCAAAAAGTAGAACAACCCAAGTGTCCATCAGCTGGTGGCTGGGTAAACAAAGTGCAGTGCCTCCATATTGCGGCATATTCAGCCACGGGCAGGAATGAAGGGCTGCCACGCACTGCCACACGCACGGACCTTGAGAGCCTCGTGCTTGAGTCAATAAGCCAAAGGCCACGTGTTATGTGACCCCACTTCTGTGAAATGTCCGCAATAGACAAATCCAGAGAGAGTAAATTCGAGGTTGCCTAGGGCAGGGATTGGGGAGGGTGGTGAGTAGGGGAGGTAGGTAAAGGGCACAGAATTTCTTTCTGGGGTGAGGTGACATATTCTAAACCTGAGTGTGGTGCTGGTTGCACAGCTGCGTGATACAGTAGAAGCAGTGGAATTACATGCTTTAAATGTGTGAATTGTGTGGCCTGTGAATTATAGCTCGATCAAGCTGTTCTTTACAGAAGTGCTGATGACCGGTAACACCACCGAGTCTCCACGGTTGCTCTGCGGAGCCCTCTGTGCCCCATCCCATTTAGGGGCCCTAGATAGACGCTGCTGTTTCTGCATGAGGAAGCTTAGTGAGGTTCAGGAGCTTGTCCAACATCCCCCCACTTAGCCAGTAAGGGGCAGAATCTGGTGATTAAAAAAACACACAAAAAAATCCCTAGCTTTCTTATGGTGTAATTGACATATAATAAACTGCACCAGTTTTTTTTTTTTTTTTCCAGATGGAGTCTAGCTCTGTCGCCCAGGCTGGAGTGCAGTGGCACGATCTCAGCTCACTGCCACCTCCACCTCCCGGGTTCAAGCAGTTCTCTTGCCTCAGCCTCCCGAGTAGGTGGGATTACAGGCACCTGCCACCACACCCAGCTAATTTTTGTATTTTTAGTAGAGACGGGGTTTCACTGTGTTGACCAGGCTGGTCTCAAACTCCTGACCTCGTGATACACCCGCCTCTGCCTCTCAAAGTGCTGGGATTGCAGGCGTGAGCCACCGCGCCCGGCCACACTGCCCTGGTTTAAAGAGCACAATTGCCTAAGCTTGGGCACGGGTGTACCCCTGTGAAAGCATCACCATCATCAAGACAGTGAACATGTTGCGAAAGGGACCCCAGTTCACTCTGCCAAAAGGAAAAATAACAAGCTGAAAGCTGAGTCCCGCAAGAAGCTGCCTCTCCTCCTATTCCTGAGCAGGTAGCTGCGGAAAACGGGTTCAACATCTCCGCAGGGAGCTGCTGTGTTCACCGTCTCTTACGTGAAGTGCGGGTCTACTTAGCAGGAGACCAACACATGGTTGACTGTTGCCCTGCCTGCTCCTTTTCTCTTGCAACACGTGGATTACCACACCCCTCCTCTTTCCCCTCCAGCCCACTTTTCCCCTTTAAATATTAAAGCTTCGAAATCATCTTTGGGAAAAGGCACAGACCACGGACTGTTTCTGGGATTCCGTCTTTTCTTCTTCCGGGCATGTCCTTAACCTTGGCAAAATAAACTTGTAAATTGATTGAGGCCTGTTTCAGATACTTTTTGGTTTACAATATCCATGCCCCAGAGTTCCCTCCTGCCCAGTCCTAATCTCCAGCATCTCCCTGCCCCCTACCCTGTCCCCAAACAACTGGTGGTCTGTTTTCTCTCACTGGAGATTCGTTGGCATTTTTATATAAATGAAACATATGGTGTATTTCTTTTTTGTCTGGTTTTTAAAATTCCGTGCTGTTGTTTTGGAATTCTTCCAGGCCGTATGCAATACGCATATCAATAAGTCATTCTTTTTGATGGCCAAGTAGTATTCCACTGTACTGATTACACCACAGTTTCTGTATTCATCTGTTGATGAGCATTTGGGTTGCCTACAGTTTGGGACTCTTACAAATATAACTGCTATGAACAATTGTGTACAAGTCTATGTGGATAAGCAGTTGTCTCCTCTTATCCATGGGGGATGCCTTCCAGGATGCCCCCGACAGTGGGTGACAGAAGCCTCCAGTAGTGCTAAAGCTGACTGCCGTGCATCGGGACACGTCTCCACTCAGGACTTCCATTCACAAACTGAATGCTTTTTCCATCTTAGCTAAGCACTCGCTATACACTGTGGCAGTAACTTTTGCCATTTGAGGAGCAAAACTCAAATGAATTTCTTTTTCCTTCTTCACAGTTTCACACATAGACGCTTTATTCTTGCTGTAGAGCTCAGCAACCTCAGCGTGTGATTTTTTTCTTTCCTTATTGAGTCAAAAACACTCACCTTTTCATTTGAAGGAAGCAGTTGATGTCTTCTCTTTGGCGTATCCCAATTGCCAGCACCAGTCCCCTTGCACTCTGGGGCCGCTCTGGAGTCAAACAAGGGTGGCTTGAGCACAAGCACTGTGGTACCGTGACGCACGTCAATATGATCCCGAGACAGCTCCGCAGAGGCGATGACGGTGCAGACGTGCTGGAGAAAGGGAGGATTCACGCCCCGCCGGGGACCGAGCGGAACAGGGCAGGCTGAGTGACGCTACTCAGAAAAACGTGGAATTTAAGACATGAATTGTTTATTTCTGGAATTTTCCATGTAACATTTTCAGACCACAAGTGACTGTGGGTAACTGAAAGTGCAGAATAAGGGGTGGCTGCCGTGTGTTTCCTTTCTCCTGGGTAAATACCTGGGGCTGGAGCGGCGAGGTCATAAGATGGGTCTATCAGAACTTCTTAAGAATGGCCAGGCTGGCTTCCAGAGTGGCTATTCCTTGTTGTAGCCCCCATAGCCAGCGGTGAGAACACAGCTAGCGTTTGGAGTTCAGCTGCCCAGATCCGAAGACCAGGAGGGCTACGGTCACGCGTGTGGTGGGGCTGATATGCCACTGGCGTGCGGCCCCCACAGCCCCTGCAGCTGCTCCCCTGGGCCCGCCTCCACTAGAAGCAAACAGGCCTGACTGTTGAAGGGGATGCTCCCCCTTTCTCAGGTGCGTTTCTCACGGCTTCTGTGGGAGCTGTTGCTTGTCTGTCACCGTCTACCAGAAAGTTATAAAACAAATGAACCAGCCGCAAATGAAAATGAAATTAGGAGTTCGCTTTTAGTAGAATAATTTGTTATTTTCCATTAACTTAGGCTTATGATTAGGACTTTATATTTCCACCTATAATATGTTGATCTTTAAAGGTGTTCCACACCGAGCTCCTTGATTTCCCATCAGAGCCTAGAGGGGGACACAGGAAACCTCCGGCAGCTTCTGGGACAGGGAGTGAGCCGGGGACGAGGAGATTGCCGCTCTGCTCTTGTGGTCCTGGAACAGTGACCACATGCCTGTAGGTGCTTGAAATAAAGAGACAAATACGGCCGGGCACAGTGGCTCATGCCTGTAATCTCAGCACTTTGGGAGGCCGAGGCGAGTGGATTACCTGAGGTCAGGAGTTCGAGACTGGCCTGGTCAACATGATGAAACCCTGTCTCTACAGAAAATACAAAAATTAGCCAGCTGTGGTGGCGGCGCCTGTAATCCCAGCTACTCGGGAGCCTGAGGCAGGAGAATGGCTTAAACCTGGGAGGCAGAGGTTGCAGTGAGCTGAGAATCAGCCACTTCACTCCAGCCTGGGCAACAGAGCGAGAGACTCCGTTTCAAAAAAAAAAAGAGACAAATACAACTTCTGTTGTCATCCTTTACTGGGGAAGCAGATGGTAAAAAATAAAAATGAACAGAGGTAGGCACACATGAAATTAGTTGCTGTGTAGAAGGAATAGGAAAGACGAAAATTGGAGGAATCAGACAGGGTGCTATTATAATTAGGGTGACCATGTAATTTATCTTTTGAACTAGGATAATTTTTTAAAAACTTTTAATTTTGAGATAATTGTAGATTCACACACTGTTGCAAGAATTAACACAGACAGAATTCCATATGCCCTCACCCACTTTCCCCAGCAGAAGTATTTAGCATAACTCGTCCACTACCACAGCCAGATAACACATTGATGCACTCCCAGCCCCGCTCAGAACTTACCAGTTTCACATCAAACCGTGATGACTTTGTGACAGATGTGGACAGTGACTGCCCACGGTCTCCCGTGCTTTTTCTAGGAACCTACAGAACCTGTTCAGGGAGATAGAAAGAAAAACGGGACACAAGACAGTTCTTGCCGTGAGGACTTTCTGTCTACTGGAGGCACACCTCAGAATTCAGACAATTCTATGCAAAGTGGAATGCGTGAAGTGAATGACAGAGTACTAGCATGCAGACAGCATTAACCTCCACTTGAGAGGCCGGGGACAGTGTCATGTTGGACAAGACAGCCGAGTTCGTCCTTGGCCCCTGGGTGGCTGCCTCTTGCCGTTCCTGGCATAGGTTAGTGGCTAGAAGCCAAACTGTCTGGGCTGACATCTTGCCTCTCTCCTCACTGCCTGTGTAACTGTGGGCAGGGCGCTTGACCTCGAGCCTCCATTTCTCTTCTGTAAGAATGAAGGAGTAACAGCGCCTAGCTTGTGGAGGGTGGGGAGGGCTGCCCGAAACACACATACAGAGAGTTCAGAACGCATGCGGCCTTGAGGGCATGTGGATAAATGGCTACTTTGCTATCACCCACAGGGAGAAGATGCTTCATATGCATTCACTGACTGGGTATGAAAGTGGAGAACCCGGCTAGCCATCCGGTGGGAGCGAATGGAATATTTAACTTGGGGCCGAGTTGGGCCTACACAGAAGACAGGTTGCATGCGTCGTGTGGAGCTGGGGAGGAAGGCTGTGGCTGGAGATGCAATTCTGCAGGGTTACTGGTGAGGATGGGACAGTGTGAACCTCGGGGATTCAGGTGACCAAGTCAAGTCAGGTGAGAAGAGAATTCAGGACGGGGCGACAGGCTCTGCTCTTCTGGGAGTTAAGAAGGTCCAGCAAGGGCTGATACTGTCCAGGTGGGTTCTCTGGGAAGCGGCTCTGAAACAGGCTGGTGCTCAGCAAGGGGAAGAGCACTGTGGGCCGGGGACGCTGGGCCACCTGCCATCTCCACGGTGGCCTCCGCCCATCCCTGCAGAGTGCCGTGGTGTGGATGGCCTTTAGAACTGTCCTGGCCATGGTGAGGGGGCCTGGCCCTCACACGGCCAAGACAACAGATGGTTGGATGGGGGCTGTCCCTGGAAGGAGGGGTGATGGGGGAGTGAGGTCCTCTCTCCGGAGGGCAAGGCTGGTGTGCACTGAATATCTTTCACATGGGAATGTGGCTGACTGCTGTGGGGTCTCCAGGAGGGGTGAAGGCAGGAGAAGGGCCTGGCAGTGAGGAGCATGAGGGTCTAGGAGCAATTGGCCATGGGGTTTAGGGATCTAAGCCTTTGGTGGTGCCCGGGAGACTGGGAGCACGCGAGGACATTTCCTTGTCAGTACACGAGGTGAGGAGGTGGAGGCAGAACCGTGAAGCGCCTGCGGCAAGGAGCCACGTGGCCCAAGGAGGCCTGGCTGGTGGAGTAGGAATTGGTGGGAGCGGCAAGGAGCCACGTGGCCCAAGGAGGCCTGGCTGGTGGAGTAGGAATTGGTGGGAGGGTTTGCTGGGACCGGCACACAGGGCTGCGCTGCCCTCACTGCGGGGTGAGGCTTTTGCCCTGAGGCTTCTCTGTGCAGCCGGAAGGTGCACCCAGGCCTTCGCTTCCTGGAGCTGCCACCTCTCCTGCAGCTTAGGTGTCCGGGCTCCGTGCCGTGCTGGCGAGATCCTTGGCATTGGGAACATAGTCTGTGCTGGGGCTGGATTCTGAGCAGCAGGGACTGGGCCTAATCAGCTTCCCTGTTGCTTTCCAGAGCCCTCAAGGGCAGGGTGTGAGGCATCCAGGAAAAGAGAAGGCAGTTCCACCGACTGGAGAGCCTGCACCGCTACAACGGAGAGCCAAGGGGGCCTTCAGGACTCAAACAGGGAGGCAAACGTGGATCCCTTAACTGCTCGCTGGAGAACCCAAAGGCTTCGCTCACAGCAGAGAAGCCTGTGCGTAGCTGGGCTGAGCTTTGGCGCCACAGTCCGGTGTCTGAAGCCTGGAGCGGCCTGAGGGCACTTCTGATCTCCTCACAGGCCTCAGTTTCCTCTTCAGTGAAACCAGGGTGGATAAGAATGGTGCCACCTGCAGAGATGTTGGGCTCAGAGATGAGCAAGATCATGGAAGCAGAGCATTAGCCCCTAGGCTGTTGGGTGCGTGTTTGCTGCTGTTACAACGGTTGCAGGTGGGTGAACCCATTTGCGTAAAGTCCAGCTGGAATTGAGCAACTCTGTTTTGGTCATGATCAGCAATCCTGTTCCAAAACACATAGCTCCCGCCTGGGCACCTCCCCTGCCTTCCTCTGGCAATGAGGGCTGCCAAGGTCGGGGCTTCAGAAGGTGGCAGGGGGAATCAGCAGAGCCTCCACTGCCATCAGCCAGCACTGCCCCACATCCAGACGACACAAACAGTGGCAAGGCCTCCGGGCTGGGTCAGCTGCCCTTGCTGTGGGCTCTGGGGGCGGCCACAGCCACTCTACCGTAGCCACATGCAGGCGTCCTCTGGCTGTGGAGCAGCCGCTGGCCCATGGCCGAGCGTGCACTCAGCTGTGTCTCAGGGGACAGCCTGGCCAGGTGGAGTCCAGGCCAGTGGAGGAGACAGGCCTCTGTCACCCAGCCCAGGCCCAGGGAGAGTAAGGCGTGGACAGGTGGCTGGCAGCTCCTACAGCAGGCGGCCGGGATGGTCCCCCGATGCACAGGGGTAGTCTCCCTGAGGTCAGTTCTAAGCCACACATTCCCAAAAACACGGCTGAAGGAACCCATCTGGGAGGCGGAGGCTCTCACCTAATACCTAGGGGTCCTGGGCCCACCCCATCCCGTCTGCGCCTGGCATTGTCCCTTCCTTGGAAGCTGCTACTCCCTGACTTGTCTCCCTTTGCCCTGGTGGCTCCTTTAGAGCTGGGTCGTCTTTATTTTTGTATCCACAGGGCCTGGCACAGGTAGGGTTAGTAAGTCCACCTGGCTGCCCACCAGCGCCTCGGAAAGTGCTGGCCCAGGACAATCGCATCCCGCTGAGACCCTCCCGCCAGCTCTGGGGCCCAGAGGCTCAGCAAGTGGGCTTCAGGCTCTGCCCAGGGCTGCGGTCGTGCTCAGGGTGCAAAGACCTGTCCTCAGGAAGCCCGAGACTTACAGGAAGGTGCGAGGTGAAAACCCCTTCAGTTTCCACAGGGCCTTCGTCCCAAAGATCGCCCTCGAATCAACTCTTCAACTTCCAGCACCCAGGGGTGCTGCCAGGTCGGTCATTCTCGCCTCGCTGCAGGCCGAGGGCCAGAGCTGCTGGACCGTGGGTGAGATGCGAGCAGCCCGGAAGTCACACCCCTGTCCCCTCCCCAGCACCCCCCGACGGTGACACAGTGCCCCGCGTGCCCCGGAAACCTGCTGGATCTTTTCACGTGCCTGAAAGGCTCACCTCGCTCCCAGGGAAAAATTGTGAGCCAGGTACACTCTGGCAGGGAGAAAACAAATCCTTCTGAACTTTGATGCCCTTGTTTGTTGATCACAACTGTCATGCATGCTGTGGGTTTAAGCAATCCCACTGTAAAAAACCCATTGCATATTTACTGATGGGTGTGGGAGGCACTGTGCAGGGAGGCCTGGCTCCTGGAGGCTGGCTGTGGAATTACTGTGGAAGGAACTGGAGTTAATAGTTCTTACCTGTGACTTTTAAACAAAGGCCGTCAGAGAAAGGGAAGAAAGAGATTTCATGGAATAAAGGAGCAATATTATTTTCCAAGTCATGCTGTGAGCTAAGAAAATTCTGTTTTCTATAACGTAACTCTTCATGACATGCAGGTGTAAGGATGACATGCCAAATATAAACACCGTGATGAAAATGAGATATTCCTCCACATGCATGCGTTACATTTTGTGAATTTTACAGTATGTGTTTTCTTCTTTGTATTTATAGTTCTTCAATAATTATTACCTCACTAAAGGATGTGAATTACATAAAAGTTGGAACCTGATTTCTAATTTTTTTCAGCTTACTTCTTGTATTTAGGAGAAATGTTTTTGTGTTTTGCCACTGAGGCGTCCTCCAGAAATGAGCTGCCCTGCTCGCTCCCCAGAGGAGACTGCGACCCGCCCGGCCAGATCACCAGCTGCTGTGGTCCCGCCCGGCCAGATCACCGGCTACTTTGGTCCCGCCCAGCCAGATCACCGGACTACGTCCCGCCCGGCCAGATCACCGGACTGCTTCCCACCCGGCCAGATCACCGGCTGCTGTGGTCCCGCCCGGCCAGATCACCGGGCTGCTGTGGTCCCACCTGGCCAGATCACCGGGCTGCTTCCCACCCGGCCAGATCACCGGACTGCTTCCCACCCGGCCAGATCACCGGCTGCTGTGGTCCCGCCCGGCCAGATCACTGGTTACTGTGGTCCCTTTGTGCAAGCGCCCTGGGCCCAGAGCCCAGCAGGGGTCCGAGAAGCTGTGCAGCCATAGACCAGGCCTGGAAGGCAAAGAGCCAGGAAAATGTTTTAGGCTCATTTTGGTTTCAAAATTAAGTTTTGAGATTCTTTTAACTATCAGACATTTCGCCTAAATTTCATGTTAACAATGTTTTAGGACTCGATTCTAAAGCCACACAGGTACAAATACCAAGTAACTCAGGCACATGGTTGCTCATCGTGGCCTCATTTGTAGACGCAAAAGCTGTTTGTGAGCAGGGGTCTGGCTGGGTGAACCACAGTCCACCCACAGTGGGGCTGAGGCCCCGAGGAGGGCCAGGCACTACCATGCAAGGATGAAAAGGGAGAGCTCAAAATGTGGCTAAGTGGGAGATCAAGATGCAGAGGTGTGTGTATTCGATGCTCACTTTTGCTAAGAAAGGTAGAGAAACATGAGTATGTTCTAGCAACTTGCTTGTATTCATAAAAACGAACATTGGACGATAAACCAAAATCTGCCCGGAAGGGAAGGGACAGAGTGAAGAGGACAAGGATGTGAGATGGAGGCTTCTTTCAATAGAGCGTGCAATGGGATTTTGACTTTGGGGTCAGGTAAGTACCATATTTTTGTAAAAAATACTAAAAGCAATAACAATTCTTAAACATTAAAAAGAAACTGAAATGAATGAACCTGTATGGTTGTTGACATGTGTACCCAGAGAAAATGGCTATTTTTTTTTTTTTTGAGACAGACTCTCGCTCTGTCGCCCAGGCTGGAGTGCAGTGGCCGGATCTCAGCTCACTGCAAGCTCCGCCTCCCAGGTTTACGCCATTCTCCTGCCTCAGCCTCCCGAGTAGCTGGGACTACAGGCGCCCGCCACCTCTCCCGGCTAGTGTTTTGTATTTTTTAGTAGAGACGGGGTTTCACCGTGTTAGCCAGGATGGTCTCGATCTCCTGACCTCGTGATCCGCCCGTCTCGGCCTCCCAAAGTGCTGGGATTACAGGCTTGAGCCACCGCGCCCGGCCGAAAATGGCTATTTTAAGAGACTTTAAAACACAGTATTTACACCACCCATCCTTAATGGAAACTCCTCTGGACAGCAGCAGACCTGCAAAGAGACAGAGCTTTAACCTCATTCAGTAGTCTTGTCATTCATAGGAACATGGGATTGCTAACTGCTAAACCATTGCGTATATAATAGATAAACCATTTTAGATATAAAACATATAATATAAATGCATGGGTGGCCGGGCACGGTGGCTCAATCCCAGCACTTTGGGAGGCCGAGGTGGGAGGATCGTGAGGTCAGGAGATCGAGACCATCCTGGCTAACACGGTGAAAACCCATCTCTACTAAAAATACAAAAAAATTAGCCAGGTGTGGTGGCGGCGCCTGTAGTCCCAGCTACTCTGGAGGCTGAGGTAGAAGAATGGTGTGAACCCGGGAGGCAGAGCTTGCAGTGAGCTGAGATTGCGCCGCTGCACTCCAGCCTGGGCGACAGAGCAAGACTCTGTCTCAAAAAAATAAATAAATAAAAAAATAAAGCATGGTATGTATTTTATATGTGTATTAAATGTATTCACAATTTTTACATATATATCTTGATAAAGCAAATAAATTAGGTTACAGTTGTTATCAAACAAGAGTTTTGGAAGATAAAATATTATGATGCAAAGGTGAAATCCAAGTATTAGGTAAAGTCCCTTTGAAGTTAAATTTAAATCAGAAGTATTAGCTTCACTCGTGATTTTGAAAAATTCATATTTCCAGCTCTGTCCACTAAAAATATCTGCAAGGAAATGTAATGGGCCCCCTTGAAAAAAAAAAAAATATATATATATACAAGCGTAGATACAGCTGCTGTGTATCCATGATTTGGATAATTATTTCAATGTTAATCTTGTTATATTAAACAATGTAATTAAGAAAATAAAAACCTGAAGCTTATATTCAAGTTATGATGTCATGTCTATAATATACAAATTGAATTGAATATCCGTAATTATTGTAGATTAGTCAATATGAATAATTCAATCCTCAACATGCATTGTGTTTTATTGTTCATAATGATTAATTTAATTAATTATCAAATTTCAATGTTGTTTTGGTTGCATGGGTGAAGACTTTTATAACAATACTCTGTATTGCATCTATAGAAGAGTGCAAGTCAATTATTTAAATAATCTCTTCAGGCCGGGCGCGGTGGCTCAAGCCTGTAATCCCAGCACTTTGGGAGGCCGAGACGGGCGGATCACGAGGTCAGGAGATCGAGACCATCCTGGCTAACATGGTGAAACCCCGTCTCTACTAAAAAATACAAAAAAAAACTAGCCAGACGAGGTGGCGGGCGCCTGTAGTCCCAGCTACTCAGGAGGCTGAGGCAGGAGAATGGCGTAAACCCAGGAGGCGGAGCTTGCAGTGAGCTGAGATCCGGCCACTGTACTCTAGCCTGGGCGACAGAGCGAGACTCTGTCTCAAAACAAACAAACAAACAAACAAAAAAACACATAAATAATCTCTTCACTGGGAATGATTTAATATATGCAGGTAAGCATGTACACATGTATTTTCCTAGGAAGAGTGATTAGAAATCTTGCTGATTCTAGAAATTTTGTAGTCTGCTCAGGGAAAGTAATTTATTAACTTCAGTAGAAAATATGCAGCGGTAATTTCTTCCTCTTTGTCTTCTTTTCTTGTTTTGAGATGGAATCTCGCTCTGTCGCCAGGCTGGAGTGCAGTGGCGCAATCTCGGCTCACGGCAACCTCCGCCTCCTGGGTTCAAGTGGTTCTTCTGCCTCAACCTCCTGAGTAGCTGGGACTACAGGTGCCCACCACCACGCCTAGCTAATTTTTGTATTTTTAGTAGAGACGGGGTTTCACCATGTTGGTCAGAATAGTCTTGATCTCTTGACCTCGTGGTCCACCCACTTCGGCCTCCCAAAGTGCTGGGATTACAGGCATGAGCCACCGCACCCAGCCCAGCAATTTCTAATTTTAGATAAAATAAAACCAGAAAGTAGACCTTATAGTAATGAAAATAAAAAAGAAATCTCAAGATGATAGAGTTGATAAACAGCTAGAAAGGCATTACCTCACAATTTAAAAGTAAATTCTAGATGGATTGAAAATTTTAGTGTAAAAAATAAAACTATAATATTAGAAGAAGTTTTAGGGGAGTATTTCTGTAACTTTGGATGGGAGAGAGGCACCTAAGCAGGAAAGGAAACCAAGAAGAAGGAAAAGACAGGCATTTAAAAATATTTTTTTGGTAAAATATGCATAACACAAAATTTTCGATTTCTAACCATGTTTAAGTGTACAGTTCAGTGGCGGTAAGTACCATCGCACAGCTGTGCAACCATCACCACTGTCCACCTCCGTAACATTCCCATATTCTCAACACACAACATGCATATACTGCACAGCAAAAGATGTCATAAGGAAAGGCAAGAGATAGTATGTTGAGTAAAAACTTTAGCAACACTTGATATTTCTGGCACACAAAGCTCTCCTATTATTTGGTAAAAGACATTCCAAAAGAAAAACGGATAAAATAACATGAATAGACATTTCACATACACCGAAATCTAGATGACTAATAGACATCTGAAAATTGGTTGATGAAATGCAAATTAAAGCAATAATAAAATACCATTTTAACCCATCAAATTGACAAAAATTAAAATGAGTTTTCATCCTTACATTGCTGGTATGAATAAATTGCTGAAAATTGATGTGGGGAATACAAATTAAAGCAATAATGTGATACCATTTTTCTTATTAAACCAACAAAAATTAAAATGAGTGAAACATCCTTGCATTATTTGTAGGAGTGTGAACTGCTAAAGCTTTTGGAGAATGTAATCTAAAAATATCTGTTAAAACTTGAAATCCAGCCAGGCTTGGTGGCTCACACCTGTACTCCTGGCTACTTGGGAGGCTGAGGTGGGAGGATTGCTGGATCCCAGCAGGCTGAGGCTGCAGTGAGCTGTGATGGCACCACTGTACTCCAGCCTGGGCAACAGAGCAAGACCCTATCTCAGAAAAAAACACAAACAAACCAAAAAGCAAAATTAAAATCATTTGACCCAGCAATCAACCTTTAAGAGTCTATCCTATAAAAATTAGAGAATCAGTGGTGTGTGTGGGGTGGGGAGGGGGAGGCAGGTGTGTGTGTGTATGAAAGGTTATCGCAGCATTGTTGCACTGGCCAAAAAAAAAAAAAAAAAAACCCAAATGACCTGATGTCCACCAATAGGGCTGTACAAGTTAGGATATGCTACTTTATCCAAAGGAAATAAGCCAAATAGCTCAAAAAAGTCAATGGCCTAAAACAGGTTTCCTTGTAAGACTGCAGGAGAGCTGCACAAATTGCTCTCAGGAGACCAGGGGGAGGGTCCTTCTGGGGATGGGATGTGTGTTCACTCTTGCCACAGCTGGAGGAAGCAGGTCTTGAGTCTAGGACTGCAAAGTGATGAGAACGAAGCCCTGGTTATGCTGGACTTCAAGGCATGCCTGCCCAGAAGGGTAACAGGATATTGATGAACTGTGAAAAGTCTCTGCTACAAAGGGAATGGTTGGATAAACTGTAGTTCTGTCTAACTATGGAATAGTATGTATTCCTAACAAAATGAGTCAGACTTATGCTGGGAAGATTGCTTGTGGTCTAGTGATTAGCAAGTGGCAGAGTGAGATGCATACAATTATCTCACTGAAAACAACAGCCAACAAACATCTGCATGTGCAAGCATTTCTGTTTGTATGAGCACGTGTGGAGGGACACACTGGGTACATCAGGGAAGGGGAATTGAATGAGGGAATTGAATGAGGGAATTGAATGAGGGCTGGGGATATTGCATTAACTTTAAAAATATGTATCTTGGCCAGGCGCGGTGGCTCAAGCCTGTAATCCCAGCACCTTGGGAGGCTGAGGAGGGCGGATCACAAGGTCAGGAGATCGAGACCATCCTGGCTAACACGGTGAAACCCCGTCTCCACTAAAAATATAAAAAATTAGCTGGGTGTGGTGGCGGCGCCTGTAGTCCCAGCAACTCGGGAGGCTGAGGCAGGAGAATGGCGTGAACCTGGGAGGCGGAGCTTGCAGTGAGCCTAGATCGCGCCACTGCACTCCAGCCTGGGTGACAGAGCGAGACTCCATCTCAAAAAATATATATATATGTGTGTGTATGTGTATATATGTGTATGTGTGTGTGTGTATATGTGTGTATATGTGTGTGTGTATGTGTGTGTGTATATATGTGTGTGTGTATATATGTATATATATGTGTGTATATATGTATATATGTGTGTATGTGTGTGTATATGTATGTGTGTGTATATGTATACATGTGTGTGTGTATGTGTGTGTATATGTATGTATGTGTATATGTGTGTGTATATATGTATATATGTATGTGTGTATATGTGTATATATGTGTGTGTATATGTATATATGTGTGTATGTATATGTGTGTATATATGTATATATGTGTGTGTATATGTATATATGTGTGTATGTATGTGTGTATATGTGTATATATGTGTGTATATATGTGTGTGTATATATGTATATAGGTGTGTGTGTATACATGTATATGTGTGTGTGTATATGTATATATGTGTGTGTATATATGTGTGTGTGTATATATGTATGTGTGTGTATGTATATGTGTGTATATATGTA